TTACACCAATTTAGAGTTAAGTTTTAGGGTTTATGGTTCGGTTTTCAATTTGTGAAGGATTGGAATATTGTTTCTTACATCAAATTAAACACACTAGGAAATTAAACACACTAGGAAGTCCTAACACGTAAGGCTTGCAACCTTAGTTAGGGCTGCCCGCCGAGGGCCCATGGGCCGAAGGCCCATTAAATAATAATAGTTTTATGGTTTAGGGTTTGTGTAACGGTTTAATGTTAAGGGTTTAGTGTCTACAATTAGGGTTTGAGGTATAGGGTTTGAGTTTTGGTTTCGGGTTTAGAAGAAAATATTGTGGAAATGATTTTGAACACAATGTATGGTGGTCAATTTTAGTGTGTGGTGATAAGATATTATTATGGTATCATCGGATATTAGTCTTAGAGGGTGGGATATTAGTCTGGGTGGCGTGGACATTTTTTTTCTTGTGAAAGGATATTAGTCTGGTTTGGTTTGGATATTTGTTTTATGTGGTGTTTATCTATGTTTATGATTTAGTGATTATAATTTAGGATTTAGTTTTTGTGGTTTAGTGATTATGGTTTATTTTTTAGGACTTAGGGTTTAGAGTTTATATGTTAGTTGGTTGGGATTTGATTTAGGTTTTAGAAGACGATATTGTGGAAATTTTTATGAATACAATGTAGGGTGGTTCGATATTTGTTTATGGATTTGAGTTTTGGTTTCGGGTTTAGAAGAAAATATTGTGGAAATGATTTTGAACACAATGTATGGTGGTCAATTTTAGTGTGTGGTGATAAGATATTATTATGTGATTGGAGGATATTAGTTCATGATGTGTGGATATTTTTGCTGTGTAGTCGGATATTAGTCTAAGACATCCATATATTAATCTGTGTGTGGTGGGTATTAGTCTGTCTGTGGTGGGTATTAGTCTATAATGGTGACGATATTAATTATGGTATCATCGGATATTAGTCTTAGAGGGTGGGATATTAGTCTGGGTGGCGTGGACATTTTTTTTATTGTGAAAGGATATTAGTCTGGTTTGGTTTGGATATTTGTTTTATGTGGTGTTTATCTATGTTTATGATTTAGTGATTATAATTTAGGATTTAGTTTTTGTGGTTTAGTGATTATGGTTTATTTTTTTAGGAATTAGGGTTTAGAGTTTATATGTAGTTGGTTGGGATTATTTAGGTTTTAGAAGACGATATTGTTGAAATTTTTATGAATACAATGTAGGGTGGTTCGATATTTGTTTATGGGTTTGAGTTTTGGTTTCGGGTTTAGAAGAAAATATGTGGAAATGATTTTGAACACAATGTATGGTGGTCAATTTTAGTGTGTGGTGATAAGATATTATTATGTGATTGGAGGATATTAGTTCATGATGTGTGGATATTTTTGCTGTGTAGTCGGATATTAGTCTAAGACATCCATATATAATCTGAGTGTGGTGGGTATTAGTGTCTGTGGTGAGTATTAGTCTATCATGGTGACGATATTAATTATGGTATCATCGGATATTAGTCTTAGAGGGTGGATAATTAGTCGGTGGCGTGGACATTTTTTATTGTGAAGGATATTAGTCTGGTTTGGTTTGGATATTTGTTTTATGTGGTGTTTATCTATGTTATGATTTAGTGATTATAATTTATTATTTATTTTTGGTTAGTGATTATGGTTTATTTTTTAGGAATTAGGGTTTAGAGTTATATGTAGTTGGTTGGGATTTGATTTAGGTTGTAGAAGACGATATTGTGGAAATTTTTATGAATACAATGTAGGGTGGTTCGATATTTGTTTATGGGTTTGAGTTTTGGTTTCGGGTTTAGAAGAAAATATTGTGGAAATGATTTTGAACACAATGTATGGTGGTCAATTTTAGTGTGTGGTGATAAGATATTATTATGTGATTGGAGGATATTAGTTCATGATGTGTGGATATTTTTGCTGTGTAGTCGGATATTAGTCTAAGACATCCATATATTAATCTGTGTGTGGTGGGTATTAGTCTGTCTGTGGTGGGTATTAGTCTATCATGGTGACGATATTAATTATGGTATCATCGGATATTAGTCTTAGAGGGTGGGATATTAGTCTGGGTGGTGTGGACATTTTTTTATGGTGAAAGGATATTAGTCTGGTTTGGTTTGGATATTTGTTTTATGTGGTGTTTATCTATGTTTATGATTTAGTGATTATAATTTAGGATTTAGTTTTTGTGGTTTAGTGATTATGATTTATTTTTTTATGAATTAGGGTTTAGATTTTATATGTAGTTGGTTGGGATTTGATTTAGGTTTTAGAAGACGATATTGTGGAAATTTTTATGAATACAATGTAGGGTGGTTCGATATTTGTTTATGGTGATAAGATATTATTATGTGATGGGAGGTTAGATATTAGTCTCTGTGTGGTGGGTATTAGTCTATAATGTTAACGATATTAATTATGGTATCATCGGATATTAGTCTTAGAGGGTGGGATATTAGTTTGGGTGGTGTGGACATTTTTTTTATTGTGAACGGATATAAGTCTGGGTGGGTTTGGATATTTGTTTTATGTGGTGTTTATCTACTTATTTGTATATGATTACATCAATTTAGGGTTTAGTGTTAGGGTTTAGACTTTAGGACTTAGAATTAGGGTTTACGGTTTAGGGTTCGGGTTTTGATTTAGGGTTTAGATATTAGTCTGTGTGTGGTGGGTATTAGTCTATCATGGTGACGATATAAATTATGGTATCATCGGATATTAGTCTTTAACGGTGAGATATTAGTCTGGGTGGTGTGGACATTTTTTTATTGTGAACGGATATTAGTCTGCAAAGTCGGATATTAGTCTGGGTTGGTTTGGATATTTGTTTTATATGGTGTTTATCTATGTTTGTTTGTGTTGATATTTAGTTTTAACAAATCCGTAACAAAACAAAGTCGTTTTTCGACAAACCGCGATACAACTAGTATTCAGTGTCATTCCAACTTTGCAATCTCATAATCTAAAATCCGTAAAAGTACAACCACAAAAATGAAAAAGGAATAGTTCAAATGTTGTCTTGCTTGGCCAAACTTTCGATAATATTTTTTATCATATCCCTCAAAGCCCTCCGTGTTCGATCATGCCATTTTGGGGTGTGGATAATTGTTATGCTGAACGGATATTAGTTTGCGACGTTCGGATATTTAGGCTGGGTGGTTTGGATATTTGTTTTGTGTGAATGGATATTAGTATGTGATGGTTAGACATTAGTCCGTGTTGTTTGGATATTTGTTTTGTGTGGATATTTATCTACTTAATTTATATTATTGTTGAAATGAACTAGTATTTAGCATCCCCAAATCACAAAATGTATTCCATAACAAAACACTGGTTTTCAAGTATCAGGACACTAATATCCATACATGGCAGAGTAATATCCTGATTGGGAGAAAAAAATATCAATAGATAACATAACTAATATCTGGACAACCAATTGCATACTAGAATCCACATCATCAACAAATTGAATCCCAAATACCCCATGTCTAATCCCAACTACATGGGCATTATAGTGCCATAGTAAAAGATTAGCCGCAATGAGTGCTCCTTGTCTTCCATTATGCAAAATCCCTGAAGCACATACAAATATTTGGTAAACATAGAAAAATATCCAATAAAAAGCAGACAAATATCCAAACATGGAGGACAAATATCCAGACATAATATTTTTAATATCTGGACATCACAAAACTAACATAATAGAAGTAATATCCAGATACAAACAAATAAGTATCCAGACATAATATAACAAATATCTCAACCGCACAAAACAAATATAAGTGAACTAACATCCATATAGGGCAGAGAAATATCAAGACAGAGTAAACAAATATCCAGACATCACATAACTAATATCTGAATGATCAATTAAATAACAATATCCACATCATCAAAAAGTAGGATCCCAAGCATGCTAATTGTTATCCACTATGAAAGGAACTAATATTCCAGATCTACAAATCGAATCCTAGATCCCAACCACACAACTATCCATGCAATTGAAAACTGATATCCTTCCTGAACAAAACTAATATCGGAACGCACACCAAACATATCCACAAAACCCAGAAAACAAAGCAACCCAGATCTAGTTAAATCCACAAAATCCACAAACCTAGCAACCCAGACCCAGATCCAATCAAATCCACAAACTCAGAAAACATATCCACAAAATCCACAAAAGAAAGCAACCCAGATCCAGTCAAATCTAAGTTAACAGAAAACAAATCCATCAAACCCATCGGAAAAAAAAATGTAGGAAAAGAAAAACTCAGATCTAGTCGAAGCTATGCAACCTTAACTCAATCTACTCAAACGAACATGAGTATCCATGAACAAATGGGGAAAAAACTATGCTACCTCAGTCAACGAAGTAGTTCTTTCGTCAACGACCGCCGTCAACCAACCCTTCGTCGCGCGCCGCTTCGTCTGCACTGTCAAAATAAGCCCGCTTCGTCTGCACCTTAGCCGCCGTCAACCAACCCTTTCGTCGCCGCCGCTTCGTCTGCACCGTCGCCGCCGTCAAACCAACCTGACCGCCGTCGTCGTTATCGGGAGAGGAAAGGGAGAGGGAGAGGAAAGAGAGAGGGAGTGAAAACAATTGATTTTTGGAGAGAGAGGGGAAAAACGTGTCTGGTGGAGAAAGATTAGAGAGGGGAGGGTTTTGAGTAAAAAAAAGTGGTGTTTTTTGAATTTGGGGGCCTGGTGGGCCCCATTTTTTTCTGTAGGCTTGGGCCAGTCGATGGACTCGGCTCTCCTCCCTCACATGCTGGCGCCAATCTACCTCCACCGCTGGATCGTGGCTTGGAGACATGGCTGCCCATCTAACCCTATCAGTATCTCCTAACAAAATGACCTGTTAGGAGCATAACTAGATTGCTAGCTAGCTAGCTGCATCTCTCCCCTCCATCCCTCCTAGTATTCCTTTCCCGTCCCATTCAATTCAAGCAGTTGAGAGACAAAAAGAGAGAGAACCAAAGATGCAAACTTCCCAACTGCTAAGCGTTTCCTTGACCGCCGTTGTGCTCTTCCTCGCCTACGGCGGCGTTGGTGGTGCTGGAAACTTGGCGACGAAATGCGGCAAGGACTTGGAGAGCGTGATGACGTGCCTGAGCTTCGCGCAGGGGAAGCAGAGCTCGCCTTCCAAGGAGTGCTACTGCTGCGCTTCCACCAAGAACACCAAAGACAAGGAGCCCGAGTGCCTGTGCTACATCATGCAGCAGACCCACAACGACACCGCCCAGTTCAAGAGCATGGGCATCCACGAGGGCAAGCTGCTTCAGCTCCCCACTGCTTGCCACCTCCAGAGTGCCAGCGTCAGCAACCTTTTAACTCACTGCTTCTTCTACTTCATTTTGAAATGAAGCTCTAATTCTCGAGGATGCTTCCAACACTGAACTTCATCAGCCGAATTGTTAAATGGCTCCCTGCTAATACACCTTAATTACCCCTAATTATACAACAATTTTATCACTCGAACCAGAGCAGCACAAGTCATCGCCGGAACCAAACCCAGGTTCGCCCATTTCACGTTTCAGAAGAAAGCTTTGCGAAAAGCAACCTGTAAACAATCAAATCAAAACCTCCTGCAATCACCCACGACTCCATAACTAGCAGAGAAAGGGAATCAATGGTGCATTGTTGTTAAAACCTCAAATCCCAAGTTTCAGGGTTTGTGAAAGGACAGTTCAAAACCATCCCCAGTTTGAACTTGATTATGAACACATGCAATCATCAAATATTCGAAACCACCTTGTTTTTACCCTCCATCCTAAGTCTTAAGTCCCCATTTTAGTTACCGGACGCAAATGTCTTACTTGAATTACCACTCAAAGACTAAATTATTTCTCGTCACGATTGTTTTTCGTCTTCCTTCACAGAAACAGCTTCAGCGAAGCTCTTCGACATCTTCTTGATGACATCACTGGGAAGTGACACCACGCGACCCGGTGGGCTAGCCGACTTCGGAGGAGATGCAGCAGAAGGGGCAGCTGCAGAGGATGGTACGTTGGCCTGCTGCTGCTGCTGCTGTCTCGATGACTTACGGACCTGCATTGTCTTCTGCCTCTCCTCGTAGAACTCAAAATCATCCAGTATGGATGAATGGCTCACGTACTTGTTGAATATGGTCAACATCTCAATCCCGTGATCCAACTGAACCTGCAACGGTTTTTGGATGTGGAAGTATTAATGTGCGAACATGGCAGACAATTGACAACAGTGATCAAATCTTGCTAAACAGGTGTTTGTCCTTTAACAGTATAGAACAACAGTGATCTAATATTGCTAAAGAGGCAAAGTAATGGAACAGTGACATTGTTGGCATATATATCGTGAGATCATGTGCAATTATCCGTGAAGCCATTCTAACTTAGTTTGGCTAATTTCTATCCTAGCACTGACAATAGCAGGGGAGGACTATCAATTCCTTAAAAATGCACAAAAGGTTTGCTCGCTCTTGACCAAAGAATTCAAGCATACAAGAGTCATAGAGAACATTCTTCCTAAGCATGGATCGACCTCATTAGTAATTATTTGGAAGGAATTTCAAGTACAGGAAAGAGAAAGGGGTAGTCACCTTTAAATTCACAGTACAATGAGGTAAGGCCAGAAACGAATACTCATGTGGACCTTAATTAAGCTGTTTTCCCACAAGTCATAAAGAAAGAGCCATTCTTAATGGAATAACAGTAACAAAAGTTTGGAAACCAAAGGAAGCTTACCTCTTGAGTGTCTCTGCTATTAGTGACAGGTTTGTTTTCATTATTTTGGAGGATAATGTGACGAAACTGACTGTTGGGGACATCTTTGATTACATGCCACTTCACAGGGAATTGTCCAGTCCATTTGTCCTGCTGCCAGTAGTCCACACTTTTCTCAAAGTCCACTGGTCCAATCATCTCAGCCACTCCACAGAACTGAGCACTAGCATTGACCTGTGCATAGCAAATATTGAAGATTGTCAGAAGGCAGGTAAACTCCATGCATTATGATGCATCTGGAAAGAGACCATGAAAGAGGACAAGTAGCTTAAAAGCATTGTCATATGCATCCCTTCTCCCCCAGAAACTACTCATTTCAGCCAACATCTCCCAAAAACTTGTAAATTCTCAGATGCCAAATAGTTGTCGAAGTTCACAGTTGCACTAACAATAAAGAAGGGACTGATGTTGGTTTTGGTTAACACGAGACCAGAACCACATAAATTTTGATCAACTGAAACTAATATTTGATTTGCCGTCATAATTAACTAGACTTCATACACAGTACTACTGAAAGTAAGTAAATGAAGCAAAAATGATAGGATAGATTTACTAAGAACACCTAAAGTTTATCATGTTCCAATATCTTTAACTAGTAATTTCAGATAAATTATATCAATGGGCTTCGACAAGTTTTGGTTAACATGGTTCCTCTTTCGTTTAGTGAAATCGAAACAAAAAGGAAATTTTCTAAATCAACAGCTTAAACCAAATAATTTGGTTTTGGTTGACCCAAAACTCCAAAATTTGGTCTTGGTTCAGTTTAACCGGACACCATTTTCCCACCCCTAACTAACAAGCATAGAAGTGGTGAATAAGAGAATGGACATTACCGAAAATAGCAAGAAGACGGGACATGCCCCCTGTTTCTCCTGGGCTTCACAGTAGGCGGCATCTAGCTTCTTGTTTCCATTCTGAGTACTTGCCCAGACACCATATTTTATACTCTTGTGCACATTGTCCTCACTATAAGACTTTATCACAAAAAACTTTGCATCCTTGTAGTCGGCGACAAAATCCAGTTTGTTGTGATGAGACACACTACAGCCATCATGTATCACAGTCCTGTGAATGTCAACCATGGGCTCGTTTCTTACTGTCTGGGTTCTGGGCTTAAATGCCCTAGGTCCTTTATTTCGCTCACTAAGTGTATCAAGGGCAACAGTACAACTGCATGAGAAATCATTGCACCTTCCCACACGCCTTGATTCATCGAGTGTAGGCCAGTTTCGGCAATTCGTCCTAAGAAGAGAAACTTCATAGCCAGAGTCATGATCTTTTTGACCTTGGGGATAGGTTTTGTAGGTGGGACTTGAATGAGATCCAAAGTCATAAAATGAGTCTCTGTGGCGAGAAGCCTGCATGAAGTTTTAAATTGAGATGACACACAAAGCTCAATCAAACAAACCCCATATTGTTTCAGATGCAATTCAGAAGAGATGCCAATTCACATTCACCACATAATAATTCTTCATGATTACCAAAGTAGACGAAAACAGGAGAACAATGCAGAGTAAGTATAGAACCGCATGATCAACAAGTCTCATGCTTCACCACCTAGAAAAAGCTCATACTTTATATTTGTGACTCAACTGTTATTTCTACATATATCAAGGAGCAGCTATGTACAACTCTACATACCTCAACATTCAGATAAGAGTTTCGGTTACAAAGCACGGAAGCAAATACATAACTGTTCCAGTATTTTGGTTATGGTATCCAAGAGATTAAAAGAAAGACAAGAAACTAGATAATTGATCGAGTGGGTTTAGATGCCTAACCGTGGCAAAATGATTCTCAGGAAAACTGACTGCAGCCATTGGTTTTGGACAAGATGGTGATGAAGTCAAGTGCGTAAAAGAGTTTGTCCCGTTCGGAGGTTTTGACCAGTCTGGCCACAACCTACCACTTTCGATCCCATCAAATCCTTGTTGCAAGGGCCTGGACTGTCCCACCATTCCAGAAAAGTGGTGTCCTTCACCGAAAGCCCCCAAAGTATGTGGTTGACCAAGTCCAAGGTCATAACTATAGCAAGCTACATTTTGTGGATCAGAGTGGGCTGGCAATTGAACTTCAGAAATATGGTTTGACGATGCAACATGTTGGATGTTATGTGAGATATGCTGCTGGAAATAAGGTGGGTTGGAGTTGGAGAACTCTTGCACATTGTACAATGTGCCGTCATAAGAAGATTGAAGGGGTGTGAATGGCACATATGGTCGATGCGTCATTTGAGAGCCATAACCATATCCATGAAAGGGAAGAGATGAAGAATCATCACGGATGCCCTACAGCAGAATGAAACCATGACACAGACAAGAACTTGTAGATCAAGAGGGGCAGGGGAAAAATATAGTTGGGGCAATAATAGGGCACTGGAACCGTTCTTACATGAACACTATTACCCTGGCTTTCAACATTACCATCAGAAAGATGAACTCCCATTCTGCTAATCATACCATCATAACCTGCCAGACATAAAACCAAAAAAAAAAACTCAAAGTTCTAAAGAGGCTTACCATTACCAATCGGGAACCACATTATCATATGTTCTCCTATTAGTTTCTACAGACACAGACAATTAACAATGATGAGCTAACCTCTATGATATGCAGCCTGTGCCTGGGAGGAGCATGCATTAAGTGAAGTATCACCCCTTAAAGACCCAATACTAATGGCAGCCTGTGAAGGATCAACCACGCTTTCAGTTGTAGCCAGAGTAGACTGCAAAATCGATTCACAAAAGACCACCCATCAGCATTGCACAAAAACGAAAAAATAATCATGGAACTATAAATCCTACGCCTTCCAGCTTACCTCTACCTGATCATTCAACATGTTTCACCCGAAGAATTTTTCGCTTAAAACAATACTTTCCGCGGTCCAGTAATGCCCAAGATATAGGCCTTATCCTGAATTTGACAACAACAACAACAACAATTTAGTTCACTTGGAAAGACCTTCATGCACACAGACACACAAAACAACTTGGAAGATTTTCACTTGTGGGGGCCTAACAAATGCTCACAATGTGGCTCAATTTCTGTACGAAGGGAATCAAAGTTTCTGAAAACTCTGGAATGACTGGATCAACATCAACCGGAAAACCCTCTCCAGCAAAGCAAACATCTAGACAAAACCACTCTCCTTCACAATCGTGCGTGCAAACGTATCAATGTGAAAAGAACATCCTCAGGCCATCACCGCCATAATCTAGTAAACCGGGGAACACTCTAGACGGTTCACATTCCTCCATACAGACTCCATGTCGCCCAAAGCAAACAGGAAAACCGATCGTCGTCACGTTTCCGCCATTCTAACAACAGTTTCAGTTCATATTCACATTTGCGACTATCCATCCACTCAAGCACACGACGGTTACCATTACAGAAAAGAAGCAATCAAACACCTCGCAATTTCCTAGTTCTACAATCCTTTGCATAACAAACAAAAAAAATTAGTAAACGCGAAACAGGAAAGAATCGTACGCTCAGTGAATTTCGCACACCGGACGAAGGCTTCCGATCATCGGTGCTACCTGCGGCGAAGAGTGAGAAAAAAAAGCTCGGGCGAAACGGTGTTGCGAGTGCGGGAGTTTGGTGGATTGCAGGCCGGGCGGTTTGGGGGGGAGTGAGTGAAGAGAGCACGAGAGAGTAGTGGGGAGAGAGAAGCTTCTAGGACGAAAAGAAGATGATCAAAGAGAAGAGGAAAAGGAAGGCATTGGGAGTGATGACGAAATGGAGAGAGTAAGAGAGAGATGGCTATGGCTATGGCTATGGTGATGATGAGAGGAGAGGGGAGAGGAGGGGGGAATCGTAACTGCTGCTACTGCTGGTTTTAGCCTTGCACTCTTTTCTTTCCCGGGTTTGCCGAGTTGGCTCCTGCTTACTCGTCCACCTGCTCTTTTGCTTCACTCTAACTGCTCTCTCTCCACATTGGATGCTCTACTTGGGAAAAAATAGACTACACATGGACCGTGGTGACTACGCTAAGCTTCCAAGAAGCACAATATGTGAAATAGGTCAGAATTTTTCCTAGTTAGGTGATATTGAAGGCATTCAAAGATGTGACCTTCAAATTTAAAACTAATATTATTACTACTAGACCTAAATTTTTGTTCACAAGCCTAGAATATCTTACCGGCTTGTTGCATCTAAAATCTTTGAAGTACTATTGATGTTCATGATTATATTTACTAGTGATTCATGAATATACGAAAAAGTTGTCTCTAATGAGTCACAAAACTTACATAGTCGTATTTCATCAAAAATTAATTGAATTAATCGAATCATTCTCATAAGAAAATAAATGATGGTCGAAAAGGTGAGGATTAACATAGTTGTTGATTTTCAATGAGGCTATGCTCATATAGACTATCATTTCTCAGTAGAGGTGGCAAATGGATTGGATTGGTGGATTGGTGGATTGGATTGATGGATCCATGGATCAAATGGATTGGATCTAATAGATTGGTGGATTCATGGATTGGATCAAGTGGATTGGTGGATTATCCATAAATCCAAATGACATCCTCAACCAAGGACCAATATGTAAAATGTAAAAACTTTAGGTACTAAAATGTCACAATGAAAAATTTTAGGTACCAAAACGTAATTTTCCAATGATATTTTTCGTATAAAAAATAAAATTTTAGGTACCAAAATGTAAAAAATAAAAATTATAGGTACTAAACTGTAATTTGCCAATGATCCATGGATCCAATCCATGAATCCACCAATCCAATTGGATTTGGATCAAATGGATTGGATTTAAATGGATTGGATTAGGTGGATATTTTTAATGAATTGATGGATTGGATTGGTGGATTGGATTGAAATTGCCACCTCTATTTCTCAGCGGTGCTTTGGTTCTTTTCTCATATTTGATCCATTGGTTTTGTTAAATTTGTATCAAAAGAAAAGGAGTTCGAATACAACCCCAAGAGAAGAAAAAGTCAAGAGATTTGAGTGCACCTTCCAAAATAACATTACTTTGAAGTTTGACCTTATCCATGAACTGGAGTTACAGCGCCAATCGCTGCTCCCAACCTATTTTAGTGGGGATTTTTCATAATCAAATCGCAAACTTACGAGCAATATATCAAGGGGATTTTCATAAATTCTCCTGACCCGCCCCTACAGGCTGCAGGGTCAACTTAAAAAACTAACCTGACTCATCCCTCGTTTTTTCTTGACCTTATCTGGCCCATTAGGGTCGGGGTCGGGCCGAGTAGGGATGTCAGAGGATCGACCTTGTGCAATGACAATTGCTTTTGGAAAATTACACTTTGGTATCCATAATTATTTTTTCTTACAATTTAGTGCCTAATTTTTTTGTACAAATTGGTCCAAAAATTTTAGTGGAAATTACATTTCGGTACCATTATATTTTTTCTCTTACATTATAGTACCTAAGCTTTTAAAAGTTCACAAAGAAGTCCAATATGTTGGTAAGAGGAATTTCAAGACATTATTGGTCGTAGGGTTAAAAAGTGACCCAAACCTAAACTGACCCTAACCCTGTCCGACCCTAGACTGACCCTGTAGATAAACTGACACATCCCGACCCTAAGGGTCAGTACGGGCAGGCTAGTAGGTATCTAAGGTCATGCTTACACCCTTACCTAAAATTGTCGAGAATGTATTCATTGAAACGGGAACCTAAAATCTCAAATAGCTTAGAATCCTTTTGTTTTAGAATCTAACCAAAGAGGCGAGGCTTGCCTTCACTTTTGAAGCTCATCTTTCTTCCACTGTTATCTCTATCCCTTAGGGGCGTAGCCAGAAAATTAGTTAAGGTGGATCTATTTATAAAATATAAATATATTAATATTGAAAAAAGATATTTATATTTAATTAATATTTAATTAGAATAATTGTTTAAATTTAAAGTGTGAGTAAATTTAAATTACACAAATCAATAAAAGGAAGGAAAGAAAACCAAATAAAAATTAATGTTATTAAACGAGAAAAGTTGAAGTAAGAAGAGAATGAGTTTAATTTGGCTATAAGAGAATAGAACTTGTATAAGATAAGATCAAATATTAATAGTACACAAATCAATACTAGAAAGGAAAGAAAATCAAATGAAAAGGTAGAATAAAAATTAATGTTATTAAATGAGAAAAGTTGAAGTTTCACGGAAGGCTACCTTCATCTTTTTGCTTCATATTATGTTTGTTCGGGGGTAGGGCTGCAAATGAGCCAAACAGCTCGCGAGCAACTCGGCGTTCGAATCGATAAAAACTCGTTCGACACTCGACTCGTTATTTAACAAGCCGGCTCGCGAGCCAGCTCGTTAGTAAACGAGCCAACCTTTAGCTAGACCATGCTCGGCTTGATAAGCTCGTGAGCTAGCTTGACTCGGCGGCTTGTTGAGCTAAGCTCGCGAGCTTCCTTGTTTAGAGCTAGTGTAAGGATTAATTACTCTTCTGAACATGAACATTATTTTTTTAATACGGATGTGTATGGAAGTTAGATGTTATTTTTATTTTCTATTGCTATTTTTATCATTTAAATTCTTATATTTACCCATTTTTTTGCAAGAATGATTTCAAATTGTGCTCATCTTGAACCGAGCTTGTACTTAGCTTGACAAACTCTGTTAATGAGCATTTATCGAGCTCTACCAAGTCGAGCTCGAGCTAGATTTTTTTTTATTCAAGCCGAGCTCGAGCTCGAGCTGGATTATCAAAATTCGAGTTCGACCGAGCTCGAGCTGAAAAATTTATAAACGAACCGAGCTCAACCTGAGAAAACTCGACTCGACTCGTTTGTCGCCCTAGTTCGGGGTGAGATAGAAATAGGCTATTGAAAGATTGGCTTGGGCTTCTGTTTTGTCGTTTTGAAACATTAGTGAGATAGAAATAGGCGATTGCATTGCATGGTTGGCTTGGGAACTTCTATATTTTGGTGGGAGCTTTTACAATTGCTGTATTTGATCAAAGAGTAATAGGCTCATAGAAAATCATGATATTCACACCTAGAAGAAGAAACTAGGATTAACATAGTCAATATGAAAATTCCAATTTGTGAAATTAAGAAGCTTTTTAACAATTAAATAGGCAAAGTTTTCATGTAGGTTCAGGTATATATAAAAGCTAAAGCTAGGAATGGGATTAGGTGCTAACCTCTTATGCTAATTATGTTTCCAACCATAGAATGAAAATCTAATCTAACAATTAAAATTAAGTAAAGGTTAATTTGGTAATAAAACTATAATAATTAACCCAAACCCTAATATATATTATATTCTACCCATCCTCATTATAGCCGCACCCTTCTTGTGAAACTGCCGTCGGGCCTCCTACCCCTCACACACTCTCTCTCAAAACCACTCATCCCACCATTCTCTTTTAACAATGGCGAGGCATCTGTCGACTGCAGCCACAACAAATAGGACTTGCGACAGAAAGTGGGCGGTCGTGCATCCAACGTTGATGAGAAGCAAAGAGGTAGGCTGCGACGTGATTGCGTCGCGCATCTGACATCGGCGAGAAGTGGGCGGCGGGTCAGATCTGTTCACATTGATGCCATTCTCGAAGAGACAGGTTGAAACTCGACTGCGGCGCGTTTGCGGTCGCGCTTCTAGCATCGACGAGTAGCGGACGGCGGTTAGATCTGTTCACATCGTCGCCATCCTCAATCACAATGTTGATTGCTACCCTGAGGACATTCTTCATCGGCTTTGCATTGCATGATTCATAGGCGGCCAGATCTGTAAAAGTTACTGTTTGAACCTAACTGGGTCAAGGGAGTAAGCAAGGGAAATCGACTATATGACGTAGAACAAAGATCTTTGAGAACAAGGTTGAGAGGATTCGTATTTTAGAGAGAGAAGTTGATGTTTGTAGAGATAGAATCCGAAAATTGCGATCCCCATCACCCACCGGAGTAAATGCCATATTTATAGG